AGTGAAATTTCTGCTCCTCATTCTTACTTGCTGAGGAGTTTTTTTTTTTTTATTTTTCCCTCTGCTTTGGGGCGCAGTTTTTCTTTGCTTTCCTGACTGCCTGCTCCCTCTCCTCCGCGCTTATTTCAGGGCTGTAGGAGGAGTGTGGTGGGACAGGAGCTCTCAGAGCCGCTCAGGAGGAGGTGGAGCTGCCCTTTGTGGTGTGGAGAGCTCCGAGCTTCACTGAAATCCCCTTTCAACCCGCGACCAACCCTTCATTCCGTTCTCCTCTCAGCCCTCTCGCTCTCCATCACCACAACAGCCAAATTACGTGACTAATTACACCTCTCTCCTTGTATTCCAGAACTCCCTGCGTCCCAGACTCACACCCCACAGCCATGTCCTGCTACGACCTCTGTGCCCCCACGTCCTGCGGCCCCACTCCTCTGGCCAACAGCTGCAACGAGCCCTGTGTCCGGCAGTGCCAGGACTCCACCTACGTGATCCAGCCCTCTCCCGTGGTGGTCACCCTGCCCGGGCCCATCCTCAGCTCCTTCCCGCAGAACACCGCCGTGGGATCCTCGGCGTCCGCGGCCGTCGGGGATGCTCTGAGCGCCGGGGGAGTCCCCATCAACTCGGGCAGCTCCTCGGGGCTCGGCAGTTTGGGGTACTCCGGTTTGGGGGGGCTCTACGGGAGGTCCTACCGGCGCTCCAACCGCTGCGGGCCCTGAGCGAGCCTCGGGATGAGCAGGAGATGGAAAGCGCGATCGGATGCAGGACTGAGCCGGTGCCCACTCGCTTGCTGACCCCCACAGCTTTGCCCTGAGCTCCCGGGGCTGCAGGAGCTTGGCCTTTCCCATTGATGCCTTTCTGTGGAATCAGGGAGGTGAAAAATGTCACTCGATTGTCGCTGGGTGTCCAGCTGTAAAGCACTGCCTGGAAATGGGTGATGAATTTTAATTTGTATTCAACCCTTTTGCTTTCTTATGCTGTATTTTTTTTTTTTTAATTCCACTTCTTGCTCATTAAATAGATGGCGCATCACAATTTGTGTTTTGTAATGTTCCTTTTTTCTCTTTCTCTTTGGAGCCTTCTCTGGCAGAAATTTGCCTGTGCATAAATTGTGAGTACCAAGCAGATTTGCATTTAAGTTCTACCACACCATGCTAATCACTGAGGAGTTATATAAACAATGAGTAATACCTTTTATACCTTTTTTTTGGGGAATATTTTCCCTTTTTTCTCATTTCTGGAAGAACAATAGGAAATAATCACTCCTGGCTAGCAACAAACGGGGGGAAAGAGGTGGCAAAGCTAAAGCAGCTTTACAGACAGAACTTTATTTAATTTATTCCCAGTGTTCCCTCTAAACCTCCTCTCCATAAATTCGAACCCATTCCCCCTTGTCCTGTCCCTCCAGGCCTTTGGAAAGAATTTCTCCCCGTATTTCTTGTCAGCTCGTTCAGACACTGGAAGGCGAAATCAGGTCACCTAGGATCTTCTCTTCCTCAGGCTGAACAAACCTAGGCAGAACTTTCAAAATCCAACAAACAAAATGAAAACTTAGGTCTCGTCCTTCCCTTGTCGTCCTGCTAGCTTAGAAACGCGGCAATTATGTCTTAATTGTTTGCTAAACGATGTGGTGATTGAAGGGCCTTTCGGGTGTCATCAGGAATCCTCAGAGCAAGAACAATTACTCAGAACCTCGGGGAAGTTAATGACGGGCAAATTGCTAAACAAACATTCCTCAACATCGTGTTAAGTACCCCAATTAAACTCCCATTCCACATTTTAAACACGGGGAGCAGGGCAGATCCTGTGATAAGGAGCCCTCAGCACGCTGGGGAGTTCTGCTCCCGGAGGAAAAAATAAAGGACAAATGAAAACCAGAGAGACTCTTGTGCAACACCAACACGGGTTTAATGTCAGAGAGAAAAGCAACAGCCGAGGGCAGGGAATTCAGGTGATCCCAGGGGCAGCAGGGAATGCAGGACTCGTACGCTGGGAGCAGGGACACGCTCAGGACCAGGATAGGCCAGGGATGGAGGGGTCTGGGCACAGAGTGGGGATGGAGGGCTCAGGGAAACCTGAGGGGATGGAGGGCTCAGGGCAGAGAGAGGGGAGGGAGGGCTCAGGGCACACCCAGGGCTGCTGGGCACACTCAGCTGCCACTGCCAGCAGCTCCTGCCCGGTGTCCCCATGGCCGGGGCTGGCCTCCAGGGCCGGCACTGCCTCTGGGGGCTGGCACTGCCAGGGGGGCTTTAGAAAACCCCACAGCTTCCCCGGCGGGACCTGCCCCATCTCTGGGAGCCAGGCAGCGAATAGCCCAGGCCCTGCGAGGAGAAGCCGGAGCTGTAGGACCTCCCGCAATTGCCAAAGGAGCCCCCATAGCCCCCGAGGGAGCCACCATAGCCCCCAAAGGAGCCCCCATAGCCCCCGAGGGAGCTTCCATAGCCAGTGTCACCTCCATAACCCAGGGAACTGCCATAGCCCTGGGAGTTCCCATAGCTCTGGGAACCCCCATAGCCCCCACAGCTTCCCAGCCCAAGGGAGCTCCCATAGCCCCGGGAGCCCCCATAGCCTCGGGAGCCCCCATAGCCCCCCAGGGAGCCCCCATGGCCTGAGAAACCCCCACGACCCCGGGAGCCCCCATATCCAAGGGAGCCCCCATGGCCTGAGAAACCCCCATAGCCCTGGGAGCCCCCATAGCCCCCATAACCTCCCAAGCCACAGGAGCTCCTATAACCATGGGAGCCCCCCGACCCAAAGGAGCCCCCATAGCTCTGGGAACCTCCATAACGTCCCCACCCAAAGGAGCCCCAATTTCCCCGGGAACCCCCATAACCTCCAGACCCAAAGGAGCCCCCATAGCCAGAGGAGCCTCTATAGCCCAAGGAACCCCCATAACCTCCAGACCCAAAGGAGCCCCCGTCCACTAAAGAAAAAAGTGAGAATTTAATAAAGTAGTAATAAAATAAAAATATTTTTTATTAGGGTGAGTCTGGGACATCCTGTAGTTATTTCTTTTCTTTCCTCTTGCAATTGTTTTCTAATTTTATGACATTGCAAAAGAGATGCAATAAATTACCTCTAAATTGTAAAATAGCTCTGCTTGTGAAGTGTCATCAGGATTTGCTGATAATAATGAGAGGTACTGAAGGATAATGACTTTAAGCGGCCTCACTTATTATAATAAATACTCATTAATAGTGAGTGCTTGCAATTTCTATTATCCTATTAAATGGAGGTTAGGAGTTATGAGGATTTATTCTGAGTTAGGAGCTCCCTTGTTATGAAACAGCATCATTTAAAAATATCAATCAATGTCACTCCTCTTGATTCCTTAATCAGCCTCTGATTAATAATTTCAGTGCTGGCAATGATTTAATTTTCATTCATGAGCTCAAATTCTTTATTTTATTAACTATTAACGTGTTTGGGATGACTATGACAAGTACATCACCTGCCATATTGAGTGCAGGTTCTTCTTAATTTATGAGGCAGCATTTTGCTGAAATATCTTAAATTTTAGGGGAGAAAGAAAAGCTTGATTGCAAATTATCTGAATTTGCAGATAATTAACTAACTTAACTATCAATATTCTGCACAAAAGGGGTCTCAAACTGATGTTCTAAAATCTTGATTCTTGGAGTCTCACCTGTAAATATTTTATCCATGAAATTGTGCCTCATGACGCAGAGCCCTCAGCTCACGCGTCTCTGAGCTGACACTCCTGCCCCAGTTTTGGGTGCTGACATTTCTGTGTTCGTGTCTAACACACCAAATATGAATTTCCTGTGGGTGTTCACAAAGCCCCTCATGGTCCTGGAATGATCTGGAACATCCCCCAAGTGTCACTGCCTCCGTGACATTCCAAAGCCAGTAGGGAATGCAGCAATGGAGTCCAACCTGGAATTGTTGAGTAATTAATGGTATTTGAGCTGCAAACACAGATCTTAAAACTCCTCACATTTCTAAAGCATTTGGAGATAATTGATATTTTCTTCATTTTTGATACCCATCTCCCTCTCTTTGTGTGTCTCTCATAGATTTTCAAGGGACTCACTTAAATTTTAAAAGACAAAGTTAATTAATCTGAACTCATCGAATCCAAAGACAGCGCTTGTGATGGGGATTATTACCCCATCATTCACCAGCTCGATGCCCTAAAGTTTGTCTTGACATGGCCTCACGCCTGTTTTTGCGTGTGGGGAGTGGCAGTGCAAAGCCAGCAGAATTAAATCGCTCCATGTGAGGGTTGTTTTGTGTGGGACCGGAGGCACGGAGGGCGTTTTGTCCTTGTAAGCACTTTGGGAAATGTATAAAAGCTGCTACCACTCCGAGCCTCTCCATCCACATCTCCTGAGTTATTCACCTTGGTGAACAGGGTAAGTCCGATTTGAACTCCTCTATCCTTCTCTATCCTTCTTTTTCTCCATCCGATTCTTTGATGTTATGCATTGGCAGATTTAAAAACCGTGGGTCTCAGAAGGCAGTTGTAGAATAAAATGTGAATTTTCACCACGCCACTTGGAATAACCATTTTAGGTACAATGCATGACTGTAAAATTTAAAAATATCTGAGTGATCATTCCCAACTTGTGGGAATATAAGGGTAAATGTTCTGGTTTGGAAGCTGAGGGCTACTTGGGAAAGGATATAAAACTACAAAAATTGCTGCTTCGTATCTAACACTTCTTAACTTCCTATAGATACATTGCCAGATTTCACCTGGGCTTACTAAATTTAAAAAGAGATAAAACCAGATTTTTGTCACAGTGTAAGAAGCATCACCAGAGATGACACCAGATGTTTTCATCTGTGTGCGACTTCTCGGGGACCTTATGACAGCAACCAGAACCTAGAATGTGATTTTTGTAGTCAGATAAGGGTCAGATTAGGAAAGCAACAAACTCTGGGCTCTCACATTTTCCATGGCAAAGCACAGGCAGAGTCAGGTGAAAATTTCTGGATCTGAAACCTTTCTCCTGCTGTGCGTTGCAGCCTCCCAGCACAGAAAGATGTCCTGCTCCAGCGAGTCCTGCGGCGTGAGCTGCCCCCAGCCCATTGCCGAGAGCGCCAACGAGCCGTGTGTGCAGCAGTGCCCCGACTCCAGAGCCCTGATCCTGCCCCCACCAGTGGTGGTGACCATCCCGGGCCCCGTGCTCAGCACCTTCCCTCAGGAGAGCATTGTGGGATCGTCGGGCCCAGCCTGGCTGGAGCGTTCCTTCAGTTCCCGCAGCTCCCAGGGCTATGGGGGCTCCTTTGGACTGGGAGGATCTGGGGGTTACGGGGGCTCCCTGGCCTTGGGGGGCTCCTCTGGCTACGGGGGCTCCTTTGGGTCTGGAGGTTATGGGGGTTCCTTGGGCTATAGGGGCTCCTCTGGCTATGGGGGCTCCCTTGGATATGGGGGTTCCCGGGGTTATGGGGGTTTCTCAGGCCATGGAGGCTCCCTTGGATATGGGGGCTCCCTGGGCTATGGGGGCTCCTTTGGCCTGGGAAGCTGTGGGGGCTATGGGGGCTCCCTGGGTGGCTATGGGGGCTCCTTTGGGGGCCATGGAGGCTCCCTCGGGGGCTATGGGGGCTCTCTCAGGGGCTATGGGGGCTCCTTTGGGGGCTATGGGGGCTCCCTCGGGGGTCATGGGGGCTCCTTTGGCAATTGCGGGAGGTCCTACAGCTCCGGCTTCTCCTCGCAGGGCCTGGGCTATTCGCTGCCTGGCTCCCAGAGATGGGGCAGGTCCCGCCGGGGAAGCTGTGGGGTTTTCTAAAGCCCCTCTGGCAGTGCCAGCCCCCAGAGGCAGTGCCGGCCCTGGAGGCCAGCCCCGGCCATGGGGACACCGGGCAGGAGCTGCTGGCAGTGGCAGCTGAGTGTGCCCAGCAGCCCTGGGTGTGCCCTGAGCCCTCCCTCCCCTCTCTCTGCCCTGAGCCCTCCATCCCCTCAGGTTTCCCTGAGCCCTCCATCCCCACTCTGTGCCCAGACCCCTCCATCCCTGGCTTATCCTGGTCCTGAGCGTGTCCCTGCTCCCAGCGTACGAGTCCTGCATTCCCTGCTGCCCCTGGGATCACCTGAATTCCCTGCCCTCGGCTGTTGCTTTTCTCTCTAACATTAAACCCATGCTGGTATTGCACAAGAGTCTCTCTGATTTTCATTTGTCCTTGTTTTCCTCTGGGGGGATATTCCCTCTTGTGCTGGGAGGAGATGGCTGGAGTTCCTCATTTGGCCAAAGCCCTTGGGTCTGTGTCATTTGGGAAAAGGAGGCAAAGAGACAGGAGTCGGATGCAGGAAAATTTTATTGTACCAAGAAAGGCAGGAGAGGCAGGGAAAGGGATGGTGGGCAAGCCCCAGGCAGGCCGGGTGTCACGGGCTGCAGGAGGCCAGGACAGCTTGTGCAGCACTCAACTCCTCCATGCCCGGCTGAGGCAGTCACCGGGGTTTGCGGCTGTTGCTGGTGGCTCTAGCAGGGCCCGCAGGTGTCCCAGAGCTTCTTGCTGTAGCGGGGCAGGGCGCAAGGGCTGCAGGCGGGAGCAGCGTAGGCTCTGCCAAAGGTGCAGAGGCCCCCCGAGGCCTGGGTGGCACCGGCACCGTAGAGGCCGCCCAGCCCCAGGGAGCCACCAAAGGCCGGTGCTCCGGAGGAGCCCACCACGGCCTGCTGGGGGAAGGAGCTGAGGATGGGGCCGGGGAAGGTGACCACCACGGGTGGTGGCTGGATGAAGGCAGAGGAGTCGGGGCACTGGCGGGCGCACAGCTCGTTGCAGCTCTCAGCGATGGGCTGGGGCACAGCCACGCTGGTTCTTGGGGGGCACAGGTCGTAGCAGGACATCTTGGCTTGAGAGAGATGAGGCTGAAAGAGAATTCAGAAAAAGAGGGGTTAGAACAGACATGGGGATCTCAGTTCAGCAGTGGCTTGTTCTCCCAGACCTGATGAAGACTTTGAGTGGCCAATGGCAACAAAAGCCGAACAGCCTTGCCCACCCTGCCCAGCGCTGGCCCTGTGTCCTGCAGTCCCCTCGGTGCCCTGACCCCCACACCCCCAGACCTCACAATCCCTGACCAAGTCCCTGTGCCCAGCCTGGATCCTTCTGTCCCAGCCAAGGGGTCATAGCAGGACATCTTGCAGGGCTCAGTGTTGGTTTGCAACACATAGAAACGTAAAAACTATAAAAACTCAGAAGTTGATGAGAGAGATTTTCAACATGAGTGAAATCACTGTGTTGTGGTTTATGTTCAGCCTTGATTGTCATGGTGAACACCCACTGAGCACCTTGATCAAAAAATTCCTGCCTATGTAAATCCTTCCCCAGAGACTGATCTTTGTTCTGGCCCCACATGGTTGTGTTGTTCAGCTTTTGGAAATGCCTACCCTGAAGAGCAATATAAGAACCCCAGTCCCATCTCCCATGAACTTCCCTCAAGTTGGGTAATTAGGAAGATCTGGGGACTCCCAAAGATTTGGGGACTCCCAAAGGTTTGGGGACCCCCAAATCCCACATTTGCCACTGGTTTCATTAAGAGTAATTCCAGACAGAAACAATGTTCTAGAACATTTAGAATAAAGCTGTTCTAAATTTCAGCATTCCTAAAGGAATCTTCTACAACTGCTCTGGTACAGGCTTTGATTAAATAAATAAATTAAAAATTCGTACTCACTAATCTCCACAAGGCGAATGAGCTGTGAGAAGTGTCTGGATGGACCCAGGCACTGGAGCTTATATAGAGGATCCCAACATTCCTGAGGGCTTGGAATCTTGCTTGGACTGGGGGTTCTGCCTGAAATAAATTGTTTACCAGCTTTGAGTCACAAAAGTTTGGAGTTTGTATCAGTTCTGATTTCATTCACATTCTCCTATCATGTGATGTCGGAGTTTCACCATCTTGATTTCTTTAATCTTGGGTCTTAATTGGTGCTGGCAACTCCTGGCATGATTAGAGTGACCTCACTGGAATTACCATGTTCATTAAGCTGACTCCACATGTTGCTTCTTCCTTTACAACCTTGTCATGAGCTTGTCTGCTCCAAGATTTTGTAAGACTCATCTTTGGCTGACATGGACATTTTTCCTTAACAGCCTTTAAAATTATCTGATAAATTAATTAGAAGCAGAAACCAGCTTATTCCAGAACTACACAGGAATAAATGTGTTTCCAGCCCTAATTAAAGAGACTTGTTGGTCTGAGATGGATTTACAGGGTCATGAATACCTGCTGAGATCATCCTGAATACTCAGCAATTCCCCAATAATCTTCCATTGCGAGGAAGGTTTGGGATCAATTCCACATAAAAATCACTCTGTTTAACTAAAAATGTTTTAGTGGAAAATGAAATTCAGTTTTAAAAGGGTTGGTGGTGCTGAATGTTCCCATATCAAGTCCTGTGATTCCAATTTTGAGGAAAAAACCAAAGAGGCAGATCAAGGTGTTTCTTTAATGTCATGGGTGCAATCTCTTATCAAGAGTGTTCTGGCCCTTCTTGAGAAAAATACTTTGTAATGATTTCACAAACATTCATTATCTGCTGTTCAACCCAGCTAATGTTCGGTGTTGTATGACATTAATGATTTAGACATTTCACTCTTACACAATCCCAGCTGCTTTAATGTGCAGGAAACAAGGTGTTGCCTGCCATTACTTTAATTAAATCATTATTTGTGCCATTGGAAGTCAAGGGTTAATAACTAATGCAGCTCTTCTTTTCCTTCTTTAAAAAAAAAATCCTGTCCATATCTGTGGTTGAATCCACTATGAGTTTAAGATTCCACCTTTGTTGTATTAGCCTTATTTCAAGCTGTATTTTCCATAAAAAAATAAATATTTGTGATTATTTACCCTTTTCCTGTGATTTTTCAGGGCACAACTTTTAGGTTTTCACCTGTATCCAGTGCATTTTACAGACCCTTCTTGTCATTCCTGAGACATCCCCCAAGAGATCTGCTCTGAATTCCTATGCTGAAGATTGGTTATTGTGGTCCAGGTTTATGCCAATATTTTCATTTTCTTTGCAAGTGAAAAAGGATTTGGGTTTAGGTTTGTGTTTTGTTTGTTGCCCCAACAAATTTCCCTGTATTTGCTGCAGGGGAAGGAAAAAAAATGATTCTCCAAGGACAGAAAGGGTTTGAGTGGTTCCCACATCTCCCAGCCTGGGGTGGATTTCCTTGCCTTGATTTATATTTTACAAAAACCTGACAGTCAGAGCAAGTTGTGCCTCATCCCTGGCACAAACTCCCTTCAAATCCAACCCCTTTTGATGGGATGCATCAAAACCCTTGTGGGCCGCAGGGGAGGGGGGATTCTGCCCTGCTCAGGTGAGACCTCACCTGCAGAGCTGCCCCAGCCGTGGATCCCAGCCCAGGGAGGACCTGGAGCTGCTGGAGAATGCCCAGAGGAGGCTCCAGGGATGGAGCAGCTCTGCTGGGAGGAAAGGCTGAGAGAACTGGGATTATTCTGTTTGGAGAAGAAGAAGCTCTGAAGTGACCTCACTGTGGCCTTGCAGGACCTGAAGGGGCTAAAAGAAACATGGGGAGAGGCCTTTCCCAAGGGATGGGGTGACAGGACAAGGGGGAATGGGTTCAGACTGACAGCGAGGGGGTTTAGATGGGATTTTGGGGATAAATTCTTCCCTGTGAGCTTGGGGAGGCCCTGGCACAGGATATTCCATGGCTGCCCCATCCCTGGCAGTGTCCAAGAAAGGGTTGGACAGGGCTTGCAGAAACCTACGGTGGTGGAAGATGCCCCTGCCCAGGGTGGACAGGGTGTGGAACGAGATGATTTTAAGATCCTTTCCCACACAAAACAGTCCATGATTCCTTGATTGCCTCTCTCCACTTTGTATTAAAAACACTGCAATTTCAGCGCTCTCTGGACTACAAAATTTATTTGGAGAGGTTCCTGTGAGGAAAAAAACCCCTCTATGTGCAGATTTACTTGAGCCTCTGAGGAACAAGGGCTGTGAGAGCACTTCGGAAGCACTGAGCAATGCTCTCTGCTCCCTGTTTGTTGTTTTGTAGCCCTTGCATGTCCCAGGGCTGAGTAACAGCACCCAAAGCAGGGAGGAGCTGCCAGGCACCTCAGCCCTGATCAGATCGTTCGTAGCCGCTGGGTTTGGCCAGGCCAGGCCCAGCCCTGCTCTTACTTTCCCTTTTTTGTCATCCAGGGCAGGCTGCGCCTCTCAGAGTAGCTCTGGCACTCCCAGGCCCTCTCCAGTGGCTCTCCAGTGATTTAAGCAACCAGAAATGGTCAGGTTGAATAGCTCTGTTATGAGCAGCTAAGACCTCAAGTGAGTACTCAGCATAATTTAAAATAAAAAAAGATGAAAACACAAAAATTCAATGCATAAGAGATTTATTGCAGGAACAACTTGAATAAATCATAGAGAGGACAAAGGAAAACATGGGAAAACAAGAGGTACAAACAGAACCAAAAAAATACAGCTAAAATTTTTAAGCCATGCAGTTGTCAAAAAGCAGAGCTAAATAAATGCAAATATGACAAGTGGTTGATATAAAGGACATAAACAATGAAGATCAAAGACAAGAAAAGAAAAAATGAAATTGTTATAAATAACACATTCACAAAAGAAGACATTAGGGAATATATCTTCAAACTAGAGACAAAGCAAAATACTAAACATAGGAAAAGAAAAGTTTGAAAGGAAAAAGTAATGGCAGCAACAATTCAGACGAACAACACCGAGATCCCTCCATGGCTGACAGAGGAAAAAGGGTCTGAGATGAGTCTAGCAGGGCCCGCAGGTGTCCCAGAGCTTCTTGCTGTAGCGGGGCAGGGCGCAAGGGCTGCAGGCGGGAGCAGCGTAGGCTCTGCCAAAGGTGCAGAGGCCCCCCGAGGCCTGGGTGGCACCGGCACCGTAGAGGCCGCCCAGCCCCAGGGAGCCACCAAAGGCCGGTGCTCCGGAGGAGCCCACCACGGCCTGCTGGGGGAAGGAGCTGAGGATGGGGCCGGGGAAGGTGACCACCACGGGTGGTGGCTGGATGAAGGCAGAGGAGTCGGGGCACTGGCGGGCGCACAGCTCGTTGCAGCTCTCAGCGATGGGCTGGGGCACAGCCACGCTGGTTCTGGGGGGGCACAGGTCCGCGCTGGTTTTCGGGGGGCACAGGTCGTAGCAGGACATCTTGGTGTGGGATCCGAGGGTGCTCTGCAAGAGAGGGCAGCCATGGCAGGAGAGCAGCCCAGGGCAGCATTCAAGCCACAGGGGCCAGGGCTGGAGCAGGGAGCTGAGAGCAGAAGCGCTCACACACTTACCCTTGTTCCCGAGGAGGAGAAGGTGGCCAGGGCAGTGCTTGGTCCAGTCTGGCCCAGGCAGGGTTTTTATAGCAGCTGTAGCATTGCTCAGCTCCACCTGGGCCGATCTGGAGCCCATTCCTTGGTGACATCCTGGCTATCAAGTCTCTCACGTGGCAGGAAGGACAAGATCGCTTGGGCAGCGGGATGTGCTGGGCTGGCATCTGGGGGATGCTGACTCAGGGAGGGGCAGGGGCCGCACAGTCCTGGTGTCAGCAGCAGGGAGTGTCCCCTCTGCAGATTGGCCCAACTGGAGCTGAGCAATGCCGGGGCTGCTATAAAAGCCCTGCCTGGACCAGACTGGACCAAGCACTGCCCTGGCCACCTTCTCCTCCTCGGGAACAAGGGTAAGTGTGCGAGCACTTCTGCTCACGGCTCCCTGCTCTCCTTCCCCCAGCAGGCCGTGGTGGGCTCCTCCGGAGCACCGGCCTTTGGTGGCTCCCTGGGGCTGGGCGGCCTCTACGGTGCCGGTGCCACCCAGGCCTCGGGGGGCCTCTGCACCTTTGGCAGAGCCTATGCTGCTCCCACCTGCAGCCCTTGCGCCCTGCCCCGCTACAGCAAGAAGCTCTGGAATACCTGCGGATCCTGCTAGAGCCATCACCAACTGCCCCAAACCCCGGTGGCTGCCTCAGCCCAGCATGGAGAAGCTGAGCTCTGCACAAGCTGCCCTGGCCTCCTGCAACCCATGACACTCGGCCTGCCTGTTGCCTGCCCACCGTCCCTCTCTCTGCCTTTCCTGCCCTTCTTGGTACAATAAAGTTTTCCTGCATCTAATTCCTGTTTCCTTGCTTCCTTTGCCCAAACTAGGAAATTCCTGGGGATGAGGATATTGCATGAGTGGGAGGGGAAATTGTGTTGGGTGATGTTCGGAGCAATGGAAAACAGAAGTGGAAGCAGATGGTGAAGGATAAATGGGAAGAAGACAGTGGAGAGCAATGTGGAGAAGAAAATTAAATCAAGAGGGAAGGGAATTGGTAGAGAAACGACTGTGAGAAGGGTTTGACTTATAGGAAAGAGAAGGAGAAGGAGAAGGAGAAGGAGAAGGAGAAGGAGAAGGGGAAGGAGGAGTAGGACAAGGACAAGAGGAAACAGAACATGGGATACAAGGCGACAGATGTAGAAAAAAAAAGGGAGAAAGAGAAAGAGAAAGAGAAAGAGAGAACAAGAGAGAAGGACCTGATTTAAGGGAAATTTAACATATCAGGCATAGTGATGGGCAAGTTTCTCTCTTATTTCAGTCCCTCGTCCTTTATCGCAGCCAAGGTTGATACAGAGGGGCTGGAGCTCTGACACCCTTTGCCCTTGGATGGCTCCCACATCTGGGGACATTCCTACACAATACCAGCAGATTTGCAGATCTGAAAAGTCCCTTGGTATCATGGCCTGCGAGCAACGATCTGCTGTCTTCAGGCAGAGTCCTTGCAGCTCCTTGTCCTTGTCCTTGTCCTTGTCCTTGTCCTTGTCCTTGTCCTTGTTCTTCTTCTTCTCCTTCTGCTTCTTCTTGTCCTTCTTATTCTCCTTGTATGAAACATTCCCACTTCTCTCCTTTATATCCATCCACTTCCCCTCAGATGTGATTTCCTTCTCCACTTTAACATCCAAAGTAACATTCCTAATTCCATTTTACCACGGATTTCCCCTTCCATTTTCCATTTTCCAGCAACATCATTTCCCCTCCCACTCCCAGAATTCCCCATCCCCAAGGGTCTTCATGACTTGGGAAAACAAGGCAAACAGACAGGAGTCAGATGCAGGAAAACTTTATTGTACCAAGAAGGGCAGAAGAGGCAGGGAAAGGGATGGTGGGCAAGCCCCAGGCAGGCCGGGTGTCATGGGCTGCAGAAGGCCAGGGCAGCTTGTGCAGAGCTCAGCTTCTCCATGCTGGGCTGAGGCAGTCACCGGGGTTTGGGGCAGTTGGTGGTGGCTCTAGCAGGGCCCGCAGAGAAGGAGAAGGAGAAGGAGAAGGAGAAGGGGAAGGAGGAGTAGGACAAGGACAAGAGGAAACAGAACATGGGATACAAGGCGACAGATGTAGAAAAAAAAAGGGAGAAAGAGAAAGAGAAAGAGAAAGAGAGAACAAGAGAGAAGGACCTGATTTAAGGGAAATTTAACATATCAGGCATAGTGATGGGCAAGTTTCTCTCTTATTTCAGTCCCTCGTCCTTTATCGCAGCCAAGGTTGATACAGAGGGGCTGGAGCTCTGACACCCTTTGCCCTTGGATGGCTCCCACATCTGGGGACATTCCTACACAATACCAGCAGATTTGCAGATCTGAAAAGTCCCTTGGTATCATGGCCTGTGAGCAACGATCTGCTGTCTTCAGGCAGAGTCCTTGCAGCTCCTTGTCCTTGTCCTTGTCCTTGTCCTTGTCGTTGTCCTTGTCCTTCTTCTTCTCCTTCTGCTTCTTCTTGTCCTTCTTATTCTCCTTGTATGAAACATTCCCACTTCTCTCCTTTATATCCATCCACTTCCCCTCAGATGTGATTTCCTTCTCCACTTTAACATCCAAAGTAACATTCCTAATTCCATTTTACCACGGATTTCCCCTTCCATTTTCCATTTTCCAGCAACATCATTTCCCCTCCCACTCCCAGAATTCCCCATCCCCAAGGGTCTTCATGACTTGGGAAAACAAGGCAAACAGACAGGAGTCAGATGCAGGAAAACTTTATTGTACCAAGAAGGGCAGAAGAGGCAGGGAAAGGGATGGTGGGCAAGCCCCAGGCAGGCCGGGTGTCATGGGCTGCAGAAGGCCAGGGCAGCTTGCGCAGAGCTCAACTCCTCCATGCTGGGCTGAGGCAGTCACCGGGGTTTGGGGC